CTGTGACATCTTAAAATTCTGGAATAACAATAGGTACCTGAGTGGCACTATGCACGTCACATGAAGACGTAATATATGTGGTACATTTCAATTGTGAGGCATTATACTTGTCTTATATTCTAATCCCTTAAAAAATGTATCTATAGAATAATAGCACAGCTACTTTGTTTCGTACATTTTAAGTTTTGTTAAAATTTATACACATTATACGGCGACGTAATTACCATGATTATGTATTTTTATTACATACAGCATATAAGTCAAGTCTAATATAAGTCAATCTTATATAGGGAGCAATTTTGAAATATCAGGAGCTAATAATAAACATAATCACAGCAAATATCCCGTTATATTTGCTCAATTAAGATACCAACTTTGCACTACTTGCTTTCCTCAACTAAAATAAATAGCAGATTGAAAACAAACAAAACCAGAATAATTGCTATTCAAAATACTACCTACATTAACAAATAAAGCCGTTAAGCTATTACAAAGCAAATAACATAAAACCTAAATATAAATTAATGAAAATACAATGGTCAAACATAAAATACCTATTGAATAGTCAACAATATGGAACTCTATAATGATTCAATTAAAACAAAACCATCGGTCGACGCTTAGTAAACAACATACAATTGTATTTTCGATATGTCCATGAATATTCGCTAACTACTTACGTGCAATAAAGTAGCAAAACGTATGCTAAAAGACTTAACTATTATAAATTGATTACGCTATTGTTTTGTTATTACTATAAACTAGCGGCCCCGACTTCTTCCGGATGAAAATAAGTAATTAAAACAATTGTAATTCTAGAAGTTTAGTCGTTTAGAAGTTTAGTTGTAGTCTATATCACTTTGAGAATGTGTACCTAACAAACGGTGAACGAATTTATTAAATACAGCGGATCCGAAGTTTACATCAATCATAATAAAATCTCATCATCCTCGCAGGCTGTAATATTAGTATAGATGAATATTAAAATTTATAATAACTATAACAATAGTGTAATAATATAATCATAGTATACATTTGCTATATTGACAAATGCACATTGTTTCATTTACAAAACAACAATTGATTATATCAAAATTCTCGGATGGATGGATTCTCGGTATGGATGAGCATTACGCTCGAATATAAAACTCAAACAAAGACTACATTTTGCTTATACGAGAGGTCCATTGCTACTACGTGGGCCGGTGCTGGCAGGGAGCCGGTCTAATTCTATAAACTGACGACACACCTGATAGCAATCTTTGCCTCTAACTGTGCATCCTCCTTCTAATATTTTTTTTTATACCAAGTAGGTGGCAAATAAGATATTATATATCTGTAATGTCATTGCTATACCTCATTTACAAGAGCTGGACTATAAAAAGTCTTCTGCGTGATTACCTTGGTCTCACCTATGTCAACTGCCAAGCATCTTTCGAAGCTGTTTTGTGCTTATAGTGTGCAGATGAGCCAAATAAAATTACAGAATAAGAATAATGACGTATGAATCCTCAGGAATGGCAATGCATGAGTGATATTGCTGGTGTCAGGTGATGTCTGCGAGTTGGGCTGTCAGCTTGTTTGGCATTGGATTACCCTTTAATCTATACCATAACTTATAAAATGAAATACGGGGAAGCAGATATGAACAGAGTTACGCTCTCAGACTAATTACTAAAAATGATGAATTCTACGCGACGGAAATACCCTAACTCAGTAAAACATATAAGTAGGAAATGTTATTAGGTGCTTATAATTACTTTTTAACTCGGCTAACTTTTCAAATTTCGCTACAGATAAACTGATGTGGCAAAATTTCTGCTCAAAGCTAATTCTTAATTCTGTATATAAAATGGCAAACAAGATGATTTCCTACTTGACATATAGTGGTTTCCGTCAACTATACACCTGGTAATATAACATAATGCTATATTATTGACGGACGATTATATATATTTTATATATATATATATAAATTGGCAAGTAAAATATTCTTTAGTATTATTTAGAAGACAAAGACACATGACTATACATATAGATAATTTAATTATTACTTATATATTTGTTATCAATGAATATTCAACTAGGTACCTTGATGTACAGGACTATACCTAAACAGGCACAGATTAAAGAAAATAAAAAAAAAGTCTTGGCCATTCTATACTCAAATCATATCACAGAATGTAAAATAAAAACAGTAAATAAAACCAAAAAGAATTACGCATATAGCTTCAATAATAATAAAAATTTGATTAAAACTATAAATGACATGACACATCTGAAGTATATTCCGTTACATTAGTAGCAATCAAGTAATAACTCAGTTTTAACACACTCACATATGTAAATAAGATTTTCCTTCCATGTAAACTGGATACAACCTTCGTTCTCGTTAGGTTGGCCTAATTACTTATTTGGTAATACTCGTATACCAAGCTTAAAGTTTACAGAAACACTCAAATTGATTTCTCAATACAAACTTCAGACGCTCCTACACTCCCTGAAGCGTTAAATTTTACTATGTTAACTCTTGTGATAATGTTTATATAATAAAATTAAACTGCTACAAAATGTTGTAATTATAATATTAATAAACCTTCACGATTGTTATCCTAGTAATAGTAGTCAGGGGCGTTATCAACTGTCGGCGGTACAATGTAAGCGGAATATTTCGCGGGATATATGGAATTCAACATTTACGATTACATCATGTTCATTTCTTGTGGTATATTTTGCCAGAATTAAATGTTATAAGCAAACCCTGTCGGTTATTATTTTCTCCAGTTTTTATAATATGATTCTAAATAACTAAGTACTAAAAGATGAACGTTTTTAATATATAGAGGACAGACATTTAGCACTATATTCTATGATATATCTTTTCCACTACAGAATAATGATTAATTACTGAGTACCAAGGGTAGTTATATTCAACGGATTCATCATCACCATGATTTCTGCACGCAAAGAGGACCCGCTAAATATAGACTTCTTCCGTAGACTCTTATAAATGAAAGCCAGTCAAAGTGACCTCAAAATCCCACTAATATAATTATTATTTATTATTTTAAATCGGCCCAGTAAGTCTCCCCGTAGGAAGTATATTACTAAAATAACATAATTTTAATAAAGATTGGATGGATAGATGTTTGGATATTCGTTACTATTTTACACAATAACTACTAGATGGATTCGAATGAAATTTAATACACAAATAAATCATATTCTGCATTAAGACATGAGAATTTTATCTTCATTCAGATATGCAGTGCCGCGCGATACAACTAGTGTTATAATAATCGTAAATATTGAATAGTAGTATACCATATTAATGTTACTTAAATATTTGTCACTTTCTAATCTAAATTTTACTACAAAATGGAGATGAGTGTCATATTAATATACTACTCCACCCAACAACTAATTACGAAACACGTGTTGCGAAAATTTAGGACAGATTAATTTGTGTAGGTAACTTTGTATGCGTAATATTGTAGAAATATCAGATAAATTGTAAGATATTAGATTCTTTATATAAAGGGTTGAATAACCCTAAAAAGCTTAAATCCAGGTAAATGCAATACTCCTGTAACTAAATCTCTTTCACTAAGAAACAAAGTGGAATTTTATAAAAATAAATAAAATCGAAGTGTTCGCTTGTAATTTCGTATTAACTGCTTATCAGAAAATACATATGAAAGTATAAGTACATATGGTACTTACATAAAAGAATCAAAATTTTTGTCTCTTTGTCTGTCAGTATGTTCTTGCTAACATCTGACATTTGGACAATATTGACGGAACTTCATAAGCTACTTTTTTTCGAAACCTTTGTTAATATTACAAAATAAAACACTTGGACGAAGTCGCGGGTTCAAAAATAAACAACTACTTTAAAAATAAATATGCAGTATAGTATGAAATATTACCAGAGATAGACTGTAAAAAGATATCTGCGTGGGTACCTCAGCCTCACCTATTTCAGTCTCCAAACAGCTTGTAAGTTGTTTCGGTTGTATGACTTGTGTGACTTTCCAGTGTTCATAAATGTATAAATATACCTGAATACCTAATTCTGTTATTGGATATGCGTACCGATTATTTACTAATCTCTACAAATATACTGCTTAACCTATAGTCATTATAAGTTATAAATAAATTAAAACTGCTTATTTTTCCTAAATTTCATTTATTTATCATTAAAATGGAGATTGGAACCTACCTAATTTTGTAAAATTTTCAACAGTTACAAACCGTGTACATAACAACGTTATCAGGAGATAGGACTGTTAGTTGCAGGATATGATCTCTAACGAGTTGGGTCACAGTTGATAGACACCAGTAACGCCATATATCCCTTAAACCGGAATAGAGCTATGCATTTAATAGTTTGGCAGCTGAAATAGAGGAGACAGGGGTATCCAAATAAAGGACTTAAATTGAATTTTGCTTCTATTTAGGAAAGGCATTTATCTTTATATATATATACATATATACATAGCTTATGTATGGTCTGTTAGTGTATCAAATTTTATTAATATCAGTCCAGGTTTTCAGCGTGTTTAAGTTACAAATATCCAAATATCTTTATAAACTTTGATAAGTTTTACTATAAAAGGATTAGTATGATTAACATATGTTCCAGGTCCAGTAGATATGTGTAAATTACGAGTAAATTGATATACTAGAATGATAGAATGTAGATATAATAGACAATTTATAATACTCTACAAATGTCACTTTATATTTTGATTTGAACCTTAATATCTAATTACTTTCGTTCATAAAGTAACTGTATACCTATAATTTTTATGTTTATTAATTGAGATAATTGATTATTATGCGTTATCTATCCAAATTTTACTCATTATCTGCATTAAATGGAACTACAATGGAAAGCAGCAGATAGATACCTAATGTAACACAAATCCTTTTCTTTCACGACCGCCACCCTACGATGTCGCGGACCGAAATGCAAGGTTAAAACAGACATAACTTACCTTTCACTGCTGTTGATATATCTAGGTATTACAGGAGTCTTTATCACTTAACTTTTTAATTAAAAAACTTTATATGTCTTCCGAGACTAATGTAAAGTAATTAATTACACGTACTTATGAGTATCCTGTTCGGATTGTCACTCACTATGTTAGTAGTACTCACAACCACATATATTACAACATCACTACACACACAATACACTACGCTTACGATAACAGATTACAGAAATTCATCGACGTTATAAAAGGTGTCCTCTCAGTTTGAGCTTGCCCTTCACACTGCCTGACTGAAATCGGGGTAGGTCGTGTGGCTACAGCCGACGAAAGAGGGTTGGTTGAACTATCTCTTTCATACGTAGTATTTTCAGGAATAAATCAAGTTTATTTTAAAGAATAATACATCTATACTCTAATGCGTTAAATATAGAGTATGTGTATTATAGACTTGATGAAAATAGATACAAGTGTTAACTTTACAGTATGAGGAACACGTGGACGCGTCTGAAAACGTATAGAATTGTAACTATTTACGGTAGTCGTTTGCAACGTGCCTTGAACGCCTGTACTATAGAAGGTACGTGAGTTATATTATTGAACAACACCTGCTAATATTTATTACATTCATACATATACAAGCTATGCCTGCAGCCTCGTTCACATGTACAATGAAAAGGCATTCTCCTAAAAAAACATTTTATTTTATGCTATCATTTATCATGATTCAATAAAACTCAACTATACTTGATGACTTTGGAAAAATCTAGCCTGAAGGATGGTTATACATATGGTAGGTCTGTACGCGCACGGAATAATAGACACTTCAGCGGTAATGACTGGTTCAGAAAATTGTATAATTAAATAAAATTAACGGGGGCATGAGTTATGGCTAGAGATGAGCTAATCTAACAGTATGTATAAATTTCTGCTATTTTGTCTGGAATCCAGTGCCTTGCCGCGTTGCGTGGCTAAAAGATGTCTAAGTTCGCCCAGATCATAAATTCGTTGTGTCAACACTATACTTTAGTATTCTATAGACTGTAGTATAAATACTAATAAGTAACCATAGTTAACTCAATTTGCAGTATATTTTTGATCAGAACTGTTGAAAGAATAATATTCAAAATCTTAATTTTTCTTTCAATATTGCCAACTACTACTAGCAATATATGACATTGTTATTAATGTTATAAATTTATTAATCAAGAAACTAAAATTCGATTTCCAATGCTTACAAACATAATTAAATTTTATATTTTAAATAGATATATTTAATCTGATCTCGTTATATAATTAATTCTATATTATATATTATATATCTATATATATATATATTGTTTTTCATATAGGTCATAATTATTGTCTTCGACATGCATTGAAAATTTCAATGAAGTTGATAAATTTCAAATATTTAAAACTATGGTAATCCAAACAATTTTCTTACACACTCACGCGGAAGGAATGATGCACGGATTTAAATTATAGCAAAGGTTGAAATATTTCTTTAATAATTGCAAATAATTTATATTTATTTTCCTTTGTTAATAATAAATATAATGCTATTTATTAAAACAATAATAATATCATATTATCCACAGTACTTCTAACAGTATTGGCCTTTTTCTGCAACTTTAGTTATTAAAATATAAAATAAATATATCATATGAGTTACGTCATATAAAAACGCAGCCCTACATTCCGCCTTCTCGCCTACATAAATTTATAACTTGAAAATATATTTGTCACCTTAATATGAGGGACAGAAAGCTTATTATGTGGTTGAACAACTAAAAAAATACATTTGTACATCTGAAACGCTCGGGATAAAGTAAAAAATATTCCAATTTGAGAAACAGATTGCGGCCTGGGAAGCTATCCCTTATAAATACATTAAAAGAGAAATTATGACTTACAAGAGAGAGCAATATATTTGGTGAAACGCTTGTTCGCGGCAAAAAGAGTTTAGATAGGTAATGTCTCAATAATTATTTCTAAAAGAGTGGTTGTAAATTTATTTCCTCCGAAAAAGCACAGTACCTAAAGAAATAATATACCTAAAATTTCCCTATCTAGTCTTAAATACATTATTTGTATAACTATACGTATATATTTTTCAACTCATTATAATATACAGGTATTTATCAATAAATGTAATAAAATAAGGTCGTAAGGATAACATATTTACATATATTTTATTATTGTAATTATACGTGTCTAAATTACGTGTTTTCTTTACTGTAGATATAATGCAAATAAAATAAATTCTATCTATATCCATTTATATATTTTTGCAGATTATTTATATCAACTACGATAAAAATCGCCTTAACCTCTATTAAAATATTTTCATTATTTTACCAATATTATATGGAAATAAGCATTAAGTAAAATAGTCCAAACAGCTTGTTGGTTAATACTACACATTGTAGTAAACATTTCTTCCAAGTCTATATATTAAAAATAGCTACTTCAGAAAGTTTATCAAGACTGACATCTTTATGCTCTCATATCATGAAAATATCGTTTTCTTTCAGTACCGTATCAGCGTAAGAAGACAAGTGCCCTTCTATTCCTATCCCGAAAACTCTCCATTACTCCAAAGGGTTGCAATAAGGATCAATAGAGAGGCTTATGTTCAAAACAAATTAAAGCTAACGCTTCTCGGCGCAGACAAGGGTTGAACCGTTGAATGGCTCTTGTATCGGCCGATATTTATATAAGTAGGATTATCCGACTGTTAGTTAGAAGAAAGGTGGTTTTTTAGAACCTTAGAAGGTATTAAGAAATATATAAGGAACGTCAAAATAAAACACAGAATAAACAAATACACTTTGTTGCAAACACACTGTATATCAAAATTTTATATTAATTAAAAAAAATATTTATAATTCTGTGTACAGACACAGAACACGTTATATAATGTTTCCTGTGCTTATTAAAACACTAGTAGAGTAGGTATCGTTTGGTAAACAGCAGTGTTTCCATTAAATTAAATCCAAATAATCAACTATACACACAGAACTTCTATAGGTACCACTGTGAATGACAAACAAATTAATCCAAAGGGAATAATATTCAATTTATTTTTGGCACTGTAAAATAGAAGATTTTTTTAAGTTAGTTGCAAACGAAAACTTTTTTCTTAGATAAAGTTGCATATCTGGGACACTTAATACTGGATACACTAATTAATGGATCACTTGTGATATTGATCTCTATAACTTATAATGATGACAAAGGTTGCCGGGAGAGAAAAGTTGTTGGTCTATAAAAAAATATAGATAATTATGTAACACGAGAGAGGGTGCATTGGACAGCAGTCCATACAACTGACTAGGTAACTTTAAATATATTTTTTGTTTAGCAACCTACCTATTTTTACAATAAAAGATTTAGATATATAAATATGTAAATCAAAATAATTTTATTTTTTTTTTATATAAAAGGAATAACAGACTAGCTGACTATCTAATAAATTCACTACCTAATCGTAACCTTATTAGATACGCGAAATACCCCTTACATAACTGCTTAGCGGCTGAAATAGGTTTTTTTCGGACTACTCTAATACTGTTGTAGCTGGCCTTTTCAGCTTCACCGGGCGATAGAGGGCGAGTTCAGATGGCACACCAAACCTGCGGAAAGACTTATGGAACGGTTGAAGGCCTACTCTCGCCTGACGGATATGACTTTAGTCTGAAGACATCACTAGAGGTTCGATTCTGTTGTAAATCTGCCTGTAAATAGATTTTAATGTCATATAAAACTCTTCCTTTGTAAAAAAAAGCTTACTATAAAATTGAAGAGTTCGTTAAAAATAATAATGTTTTTATAGAAAAACTTAAAATCCATAGCGCTGACAATATTATCTGATTACACCAAAAATGAGTGCGTAGCGGTTTCTATGTTGATTATCGCACGCATCTTACTTGTTATACGGTAATTATTTATATAAAAAAAATCTATTAAAAAGAGCAACGCACAGGATTCTTGCTCACTCTTCTAGTGATGAATCTGCGTTGCGAATGAATGGTAGAATCAAAATATGACTATTCAAAAGTGCTTGTTATGAGTTTATTTTAATAAAGATTATTATATTATATATATTCTATTCTATACTGTTTATTTTATTTATTATGTATCGGGGGGGACAGCCGCTAAAATAGGTAAAATAGAGATTCGCCACAATGTAACCTAAACAAAAATAACAAACAAAATGCAATTATTTGTAATCATATTATTTTATTTTTATAAATCTGAACGAATGTGATATGACATCTTTCTTTAAAATTCATCAAACCCGCAAGAACACTAATGACTTAGAAGTCGAGTAAAACATTATTTTGACTTAAAGTTGTCTAGTTATTCTTATACAAACTATGTAGTATTGTTATGGAATTGTATTTTTAGTTGCAATTTATTATTGCATAAAATATACAGTTTGCGACCTCCCACGAGATTGTTCGCGTGAAACGCAGGATATGGTTTGATATCTTCTTATCCCACGGGAACATTATATTTTCACGGGTTAATAAAGTAGGCTGAGTGTTTTATATTTTTTATATTCACCGTAAATTTTAATAACATTAATGTATGTTTTAGATAGTTTTTAATACCAGTGGGAAGCTCTAAAAGTTGTGTAAATTTTACCATTTACTTTAAAGATATATTTAAAATGACATTACGACAGTTTGTGCTACCATATACGCTGACTTTTTTCCACTAACAAACTTTTATATTTTAAAACTAATTAGATATAAGAAATGTGATATATATATTATTAATGTATTTGTAAGAACCCCGACTTCAACATTGGGTATAAACAAAATTGGTAAGAAGGGGCCATCCCGAAAGTAAATACAATAGTACATGTACTTTCAAGTACAAACAAAGATATCCCGTAATAGCTTTGTGAAAAACATGAATAAAATAAAAATATTCGTATATGATTTAATTTGTCTAAACGCAAAGAAGGAAAATTATAATAAATCTCCATTGCATTGTATTTGAATATAAAGGAATTATTATTTTAGTAATTGTAATAATCGCCTTACTTACATACATATATGTTCATCAAACTTTTCATTATAAGAACTATACCTAGTGAGTAAAATTGTATCTAAAATTAATAAAACATCAATGTTATCATTAAATTATAATGTTAACATACGGCATTAAATATTAAGAAGAATATTTTAAAACTAAATTAATTGTTATGGGAATGCCTACATACACAAAAATGTTGCAATTATAG